ATTTTATACACACACACATGTGTAATTTTAAATAGTGTTACATCTCATGAAAGAATTAACAGGGGGCACGACAGAGTAGCAGAAATGTGACGGGGAGAAGGACAGATGTGGCGGCTTGACATACTTAACATCTATTCCAGCTTCCTTCTAGTGGGTCTTCTAACTGCAGAGATCAACAATTGAATATTGTATTTTAGACTTCCTCAAACTGACATTCTGAATGTGACATAGGTTGCACCAACCACATGTACTCATGAAACACTAGAATTCAGATATGAATTAAGTGAGAGACAGTTGGCTGCGAGGCACACATTTTTCTCATAAGGGTCTAGCAGACTCAGAGTGGCCCGTGAGCCAGCGTTTATCTCAGCTATGTTCCTGGACACGACATTGCAGCTCCTGGCTTCTAGACCCCAGATGTGTGGCTAAAGTTGTACAGCTCTGAAGCCAGCAGTTGTGCTAGTACATCCTGTCCCCCTCAAAATAACAGTTCTGTTGGTATGTGTCAAGTTTTAAAAAGTTTTATTGAAGTATATTGATTTACAATGTTGTGTTAATTTCTACTGTGCAGTAAAATTATTCAGTTATACTTTTTCCTACTTTTCATATTCCTTTCCATTATGGTTTATCAGGGGATATTGAATACACTTCCCTGTGCTACACAGTAGACCCTTGTTGTTTATCCTTCCTATATATAATAGCTTGCATCTACTAATCCCAAACTCCCAATCCATCCTTCCTCCACCTGCTCCTCTTTTTTGGCAAAACCACAAGCTTGTTCTCTACATCTGAGTCTGTTTCTGTTTTGTGTCATATTTTAGATTCTACATATAAGTGATATCATGTGGTATTTGTTTTTCTCCTTCTGACTTATTTCACTCAGTAGGATACTCTCTAGTTGATTCCATGTTGCTGCATCATTTCATTCTTTTTATGGCTGAGTCGTATTCCATGGTTTACATGTACCATGGGCTTCCCAGGTGGTGCAGTGGTGAAGAATCCACCTACCAATGCAGATGCAAGAGAGGGTCGGGAAGATCCCCTGAAGTAGGGAATGGCAATCCACTCCAGTATTCTTGCCTGGAAAATTCCATGGACAGAGGAGTCTGGCAGGCTATAGTTCATGGGGTTGCAGAGTTTGATGTGACTGAGCACATATATCTATCATGGTCACAGGGCAAAGGATCTTGGGAGAAAGTATTGCTGCCATCGTTGAAAGCAATCTGCCAGAGACACATTTTAGTGAAATAACATGTAGGCAATTAAATACGAGTCCCTTGGACTATAAGGAGATCAAACCAGTCAATACTAAGGGAAATCAACCCTGAATATTCATTGGAAGGACTAATGCTGAAGCTGAAGCTCCAATACTTTGGCAACCTGATATGAAGAGCTGGCTCATTGGAAAGACTCTGATGCTGGGAAAGATGGAAGGCAGAAGGAGAAAGGGGTGACAGAGGATGAGATGGTTAGCAATTGTCACTGACTCAATGAACATGAGTTTGTGCAAACTCTGGGAGATACAGAAGGACAGGGGAGCCTGACGTGCTGCAGTCCATGGGGTTGCAGACAGTCAGACATGACTGAGAGACTAAACAACAACAGCATTGTTTCAGAGTTTTTCTCTCATGTGGCTGTAGTTAAGTTGCTGGCCAAGCCTGCAGTCAGTCTGAAGACTTGACTGAGGCTGAAATATCTACTTTTAAGATGGCTATTCAAGTAATTGTGCGAGGAATCCTTACTCTTTTTCCATATGGACTTCTTTACAGGGTTGCTCGAGTGTTATCACACATTAACTGGATTGCCCAGAACAAGTAATTCAAGACAAAGGGCAAGCAGGAGGCCACAGTGCTTACAGATGAAGCCCAAAGTGACATCATGTAACTTCCATGATACCATGTGTGCTAGAAGCAAGTCAAAGTCCACCCACATTCAAGGAGTAAAGAATTAAGTTTTCGCTTTTATATAGAGGAATCTCAAAGGATTTTTGGAGAAATTTAAATCCACCAGTAGTATAGATGTGGGCATATACATTTCATTGGGAGAAAGTAAAGAAACTTCTTTATGATTGTTCATCTTTCAGGCTTCCTGGTTCAGTACAAGGGGAAAATCCCAATTCGCTATAAATTTAGTTTCACTTATGTTTTCATCTCCTTCTGTGATTTTGCTTTCCATGGAGGACAACCATTTATGTTTTACAGTCCACAGTCTTATGCTGGTAGACGTAGCAGGGACCAAGACGGGATAGCAGTGGGTGGTATCTACAACTTGGGTCAGTTACCTTTTACTGTGTAACAAGCCACTCTAAAATATAACAGTTTAAAACAAGAGTTGGCCGAAGGAGCTTCAGCCCAACTCCCTGATGTCTCTGAAAACCCCAAACGCCACTCCAAGTAAGCACACGAGAAAAGCACTGTTCCTACTCGCCAGCTGTCACTTAGAGACACATTTCTAGGTCCTCTTCCCATTTCCACCCTCTTATCAGATTTCCTTCTCTCAGCCTCTTCAGGACAGACATTCTGGAGCTGCTTGTGGGTTAGTAGTGAAGGGGTGTGCGCCACGTTCTTCTTGGGCTCCAGGACGGAAGGGGTGAAGTGGCTTCGGTCCCTCAACAGAGTTCTGACAGCAAGGCCCAAGACGTGATTAGCTTCAGTGGAGACACCCACTTCCTTTTAAACAGTCCAATGATATGAGAGATTCAAAAAGACCAACCTTCTGATCACTTAATATTTAATATCTACCCTACATCTACATCCAGCGTGAGGCTGAGTGCTGAAGCTAGAAAACTTCTGTCCTCAGAGAGCTTACAGCACAAGATAGCGAGCCAGAATACATAAAGCAGCAAGTGTGTGACAGAAAATCACTGTAACAGATGCTGCTCCAGTGAAAGGATGTAGGGATGAGCTACACAAAAAGCTCTTAAAAGAGACTGTATTCCAGTTGTATGTGCTAAGTTGCTTCAGTCACGTCCGACTCTCTGTGATCCTGTGGACTGTAGCCAGCCAGGCTCCTCTGTCCAAGGGATTCTCCAAGAACACTGGAGTGGGTAGCTATGCCTTTCTCCAGGGGATGTCTAGGCTAGCAGGAACACCCATATTCCAGTTACTCTTGAATAACAAGAGGCAAAGAGCTTTCAGGCAGAAGCAGCAGCAAGCATGATAGTAACTGACACGACTTTAGCTGGTGTGAGTGAGTGCCTAGTCTTTCAGTCCTGTCCAACTCTTTGCAGCCCTGAGGACTGCAGCCCACTAAGCACCTCTGTCCATGGTATGGCGGTATTGAAAACAGTAGACTCAGATAGTACTGGCTTCTGATACTGCTATTTTCAGGATTCAACTGAGGAGACAAGAAGGATGAGCATTCATTAGATGTTGACCTACGGAGGAAAGGAGTAATCCCATTTATTCCAATGGCTCCTACTGGGGCAAGTCTATGTGGATCAAAAGAATATTCACCCAAGCAGTTATCTTTGAGATGTATATTTAGGATATTTTTAAAGAGAAGAAAGGGAATAGTCCATTACGTGGAGTCCATTCCTTGAACCCATAGATACTTTTACATTTTAGGATGTGTGTACCTGATTTAGGTAACCTGAATATCTTTACTGAATTTCCTCTAATTCCTAATGATCAGTAACACAGACACTTAAGTTAAATGGATTTAGGAATAATTTTACTACCTTATTTAATTACAATCCATGTACCATGAATCAAATCCTTGATAACCTGATGCATAAAGAAAATATGAAGTAAACATTTTAAGATGTGTAAAGAATATTCCTGATTGAATTTCTCTGATTACTGTTTACAGCCATCCATCATCATTTCCATCAAAAAATTGAGCACTGTCAAAGAATTTGAATCTTCTTAGAAATTTATTCTTTTAATAAAGAGTACAATATTATTATCACAGATTCACTGTAATATCATTTTTAATTTTTTATTTATTTTAATTATTTTTTTAAATTTTTTTTATTAGTTGGAGGCTAATTACTTCACAATATTGTAGTGGTTTTTGTCATACATTGACATGAATCAGCCATGGATATACATGTATTCCCCATCCCGATCCCCCCTCCCACCTCCCCTGGAGGAGGAAATGGCAACCCACTCCAGTATTCTTACCTGGAAAATTCCACGGACAGAGGAGCCTGGTGGGCTACAGTCCCTGGGTTTGCAAAGAGTCATACACAACTGAGCACATACACACACATTTCAGTTAAATGTTGAAAGTGTTACCGTTTTTACTAGTTTCAGAAAAGGGAGAACTGGAAGTACAAGAAAAGAAGTTTTAGGATCAAATATTTGAACTTATACTTTCTAATAGAACATTATCCACTGGTGTTTAATCAAAAAGTTTTCATCTACGCCTATAGAGAGCATTTTTGATTATTTTAATATGTGTTGAAAGTGTATGCCTATGGAGAATGCTGTGTGGCCACTCCTAAGACCAATTGAATATAAATATAGAGGGTCACAGTGTTTGCACACTTTTGTAGTCTGAAATCCTAGAGTGCAGCAGATGAGGTATAATATGAATTGTTTTGGCATTGCTGGCCTCATTGAAACCCTTCATGCACTTTGCACATCTGTGTCTACAGCAAGAAGGGATCATTGTTCGGCTCTGCTATTGCTGTTTATGAATCAGAAGAACAAAAAGGCAACAGAATAAGCAAAATGTCATGTTCATACAAATCTTGATTAGGGTAAAATCATCTGGCTGGCATTGCCTGCATACAACATCACCAACAGGGCTGCCAGCTCGTGAGGGGAGCCTCCCAGTTCCCATGTCTTGGATCTTCAAAGCCTGGAACAGCTTATTTGAAGGTTTACATGAAAGCTAGGTCTACCCAAAATAGTTAAGATCTAGTCTCTGAGTCTTTGCTGTTATTAACCAACTTGTCTTTAAGAATCCCTAAAGTCCTAGGAGATGTCTGCATAACTGCAGCATCTATAATGGATGGTACTTTGGTAAGGGTACTTACCAAAATAGGCTTGATTAAAATCTTCAAGCAGGGTTTCTCAACTCCAGCCCCATGGACATTTGGGGCCAGATCATTCTTTTGGTGATTCCTGCGCAATGTGTAAGATGTTTAGCAGTGCCCCCAGCCTCATCCGACTAGCCAACAGCACTCTCCCAGTTGAGACAACATCACATGTCTCCAGACTTTTCCAAAGTTCCCTAATCCAGTTGAGAACCACTGTTTCAGAGGATTATGAAAATTTGCCTCGTTCCACAGTGTCAGCAAGGGATCTCTGAGGAGTATTAGACCCTGAGAACAGAAATAGATTAAAAAGACTCAGAATCTTGAGCTTATGGACATAAAATAATTATCTAAAAAGTGAAAATCTGATTACGTACCCAGATTTCCAAAATACGCTGATGTTTTTGCTATCATGGAGATAAAAATAAAATACTGGGGAAATTTTCTGGGGAAATTTCCCTCACTTTTAAAAAGTGGTCGTGGGGAAAACTGAAACAGAATAGGACACTGTGGTCCCCACCCGCCCACCCCCCAATGTCCTCTGCCTGCCTTTTGTCTGTGGAAAGCTTTAGTCAAAGAGCAAGTTTAATCAGAGAAGTCAGAAAGGCCGAAACAAAGGGAAACAGTCAAAGGAGACCAGATAATAATCAGGTAGTCATTAAACATAGTCTGGGACATTTAATTCTTTCTCAAGAGCTAAAGATAATATTCTGAGTCATATCCTGCAGCCTGTCTTACAGATACTGAAACCCCCGCCAGGTAGAGAAATTAACTACACGATTGACCAGACTGTAGCCAGGATAAAAGCTGCCACAATTCTAAGAATTGGCCTCAAAGTAACGGAAACAAACCGACCTTGGAACTGAAGATTAACTGTCCCTAAGACAACCAAGATGATGCTGGTCAGACCACTGACGGCCAATCTGAAGATGACTGTCAGGGCTGACTGCACTGTTTCTGCATGTAGCTCTCTCCCTCTCTATAAAAGCTCTTCCTCACCCACTGTCAGTAGTGAGGGGGAGTTGGCCTTTGGGCAGACGTCCGCCCTCCCCTTCTGGATGCTGGCATCAGAAATAAAGCAAACTATTCTTTCCACCAACCTGGCCTGTTTATTGGCTTTTAGCGGCAAGCAGCCAGACCCCACTCATGCCTTTAGGTAACAAAGTAACTGTTTTCCCCTCAAGATGCTGTTAGATCTGGATATTTTATCTGGAAAGGCTTCAGCCCTCTTGTTTCAAGCCTAAGGGTGAAGTCAACACATGGAAAAGGAAAGAGATAAGAGACTTCAGTTTACAAAGAAGTAGCCAATGTGCCCAGGGTGTACCTCTTCAGAACTTCTTGTTTTATTAGATAATAAACTGATTTTTTAAAAAAAAATCCAGTTTCAATTCTCTGTCACTTGCAACCAATCCACCCTACCTCATCCTCTAAACCCAGTCAGCTAGTCCATACAAGCACGCACTGATGCTTAGCCATTCTTGACCATTGTGAGCCTCTGGTGATAGCTCCATAAATTTACTAATATTTTTCTCTCTCAGTGAAATAACATCTTTATTTAATTTCTGATATTTTAGTATAATCCTATCTATTCACTGGAGAAGGAAATGGCAACTCACTTCAGTATTCTTGCCTGGGAAATCCCATGGACAGAGGAGCCTGACAGGTTATACAGTCCATGAGGTCACAAAAGAATTAGACATGACTTAAAGAATAAACACACAACAACAATCATTTGTTGGGACAGATTAAGCTTCTGTATAAGTAAACTCAAAATATATAACTGCTAAAACTGCATGGAAATTAATTTCTTATTCATTTAATGTGTAAAGATGTTTCTACGATGTAATAAATCAAGAAACTAAACTTCTTCCATCTTGGCAGTCCACCGTTCTTAGAGTCTTGACACTTCCACTTGCCTTGCAGCCTGCAGGAGAAGAACTCAAAGAGAGAAAGCACTCCCTTCTGAAAAGTTGTGGCCCAGAAATAGTATGTATCACTGCTGCTCAATTGACCCACCTGCCAATGAAGGAGATGTAGGAGACACGGCTTTGATCCCTACCTTCCCTAGGTAGGGAAGATCCTCTGGAAAAGGAAATGGCAACCCTTTCCAGTATGCTTGCCTGGAGAATCCCATGGACAGAGGAGCCTGGTGGGCTACAGTCCATGGGGTCGCAGAGTCAGACACGGCTGAAGTGACCTAGCACTCCACGCTCTGCTAGCTTTTTAACTGACGTCTCTCTCTTACACGTTTCACTCATCTGCACTTGTTTCTGACCCATCTTACCAGAACAGAGAAACCTGAGTAGATATCTTTTGACCTTGCTTCTTTTTAAAAAAAAGCATAGTTGTATTTAAAAAGAATAGGAGGAATTTTAAAACTCTGTTTTGAAAAGAGACTTCAGTTAAAAGGTGATAATCTAATTTCAAAATTCCCCAAATTTGTCCTGGGGAAAGGAAAAGAAAATACTAACAAAATTATGAGAAAAATGATTCTTTTGGATCTTTGTTATTTCTCATAAGTACAGCATTTCCAAAAGGAAAAATGACATGTCCTTTGAAGTGACAGAGAATTTTGATTGTGTTTTAAAAATTAATGTTTTTCAAGTATAAACTCATTATAGTTTTACCCCATATAACAATATATTCTCTTTTAAAAAGCAACTGTATCACTGGATCCATAATTTTCTTTTTAAAATAATAAAGACATTTTTGGTTGGACCAAACATTGATGAAATTCTAGCAAGTTGATGCCTTCCTTATATTTTCTGGAAGACATTGAGTAAAATAGTAAGAGATTTTTATCAGAGGAGTTGTCATGTCACAGGAAATTGTGATAGAAGCTCATTCACTGGAGTCATTTAAAATTCAAATTGGTGTTTCACATGTACTCAGTTACTTTCTAGTAGCTTCTGGGCTACAAAACCTTTTAAACTCAGAAAAGACACAAACATATTTCAACGGTTTCCTTGTCTTAATTTACTCACTTATTCAGTAGATAATTATCAAGCCCTAATACATGCTAAGGATTAGTGCTAAGTAACAACTGGTAAGAAAATAAAACCATCTTCGCCTCAACTCGGAGAGATTTCAGAATAATTAAGAATAAGAATGAGGATGAGGAAACAGAATATCAAATAAGGAAACAGTTATATGTTAAATTTCAGTTGAGGTTTCTGCTACTAGACTTACCTATTCTATACCTTAAGAGTGATATTTGATTGAGTCTCGGAGATTCAGACAGATTTTGTATTGTAAAGGTCAGAGTGGAAGGGTTCCAGAGAGGCTGTAAATAGCACATTTAAAAACATATTGCATTAGCCTAAGAAAGAGATGATTCCATTCTTTTCTCCAGAAAATAAAGTGATCATACTACCAAACTTATAACCTGCTCATGAGATAGCAGTTTGTTTTGGGTTCATGGCCAAAGAAAAAGATTTATGTCTTTTGTATTTATTAGTTAGGAAGAGACTCAAATGGATCTTATCTTACATGTTCACATTTAACTCTAATTTTTTATCAGTGTAGTTCAGTCACTCAGTCATGTCCAACTCTTTTCGACCCCATGGACTACTGCACACCAGGCTTCCCTGTCCATCACCAACTCCTGGAGCTTACTCAAGCTCATGTCCATCGAGTTGGTGCTGCCATCCAACCATATCATCTGTCGTCCCCTTCTCCTCCTGCCTTCAATCTTTCCCAGCATCAGAGTCTTTTCAAACGAGTCAGTTCTTCACTCAGGTGGCCAAAGTATTGGAGTTTCAGCTTCAGCATCAGTACTTCCAATGAATATTCAGGACTGATTTCCTTTAGGATAGACTGGTTGGAGCTCCATGCAGTTCAAGGGACTCTCAAGAGTCTTCTCCAGCACCACAGTTCAAAAGTATGAATTCTTTGGCATTCAGCTTTCTTTATAGTCCAACTCTCACATCCATACAAGGCTACTGGAAGAAACATAGCTTTGACTGGACAGACCTTTGTTGGCAAAGTAATGTCTCTGCTTTTTAATATGCTAAGTGGGTCATAGCTTTTCTTCCAAGGAGCAAGTGTCTTTTAATTTCATGGCTGTAGCCACCATCTGCAGTGATTTTGGAGCCCAAGAAAATAAAGTCTGTCACTGTTTCCATCATTTACCCATCTATTTGCCATGAAATGATGGGACCGGATGCCATGATCTTCATTTTCTGAATGTAGAGTTTTAAGCCAACCTCTTCTCTCTCCTTTCACTTTCATCATTATGCTCTTTAGTTCTTTGCTTTCTGCCCTAAGGGTGGTGTTATCTGCATATCTGAGGTTATTAATATTTCTCCTGGCAATCTTGATTCCAGCTTGTGCTTCATCCAGCCCAGCGTTTCTCATGATGTACTCTTCATATAAGTTAAATAAGAAGGGTGACAATATACAGCCTTGACGTACTCCTTTCCCATGGAAACAGTCTGTTGTTCCATGTCC